TCTGGTAAAAGGTTTCAAGATTTACTTGCTTAAAAGATATACTTCAAAGGTTTTTAATTGCCTTTTGCAAATTTAGTAATGATTAATCATAATCTAACCAGGCTGTATCACTTAGATCCTGTTGTATAAGATATTGTTCCAGTACCTTAACGGTATTTAATACTTCGTGGTGGGTAATTAAAAGGATTTCTTTATTGTCATCTTTGTTCTCTTCACTATTGTCAGCTTTAGTTAGAACCTTCTTAGATTCTATATTAGTAACTAAGGTTAAGATTTCCTGATTATTCAACACTTCATTTGTATCTTCTTTTTCTGGGTAATTAAGATATAGTTCAAGATCTATTATGTTTCAGAAATGTAGTGCTTCAATATCTACTTGCATTTTTTTAATTAACTCATTTTTATTGTCATCATTAGTAGATTCATTATTTTGGACAACTGAAAGGATCTTTGTATGCTGGAAGCAATTACGTATCTACAGATAGGTAAAATTCATTTTCAAACTTTAACATAATTTTAATAAATTTTTTAATTGCTTGTGCTATTTACAAGTAATTCTCGATATGAAGAATCTTCAATATAAAAAGAACTAACTGAACTATCAATATAACAAAGTTAAACCAAAACCAGTCTATAATAAATTTACTCAATATAAGTTATCAATAAACTTTCGATATAAGAAAGTTTGTAAAATTTTACTATGGACCCGACTACCTTTTATATATTGAGATTCACTTGTAATTATTTTAATTTAAAATATTTAAAATAACAAATAGACATATTTTTTTTAGTTTTTTTTTAGGATTAAATTAGAATTCATAGTTATAATTGTTGATAAAGAGTATATATAGATTTTAGTAAGTTTAGCAAACTTCAACTGAGATCTCAAATATTAGTATTTGCCGCAACAATAATTTTGTTTTATTAAAAATAAATAACTATTTTATATATATATCGTTTCTGATGATACCTCTTTTTATGCCTAAATAATAAACTTTATAGCAGAAAGAACATTCAATTTTTTATCATTTCCAAATTCATATTGATCAAGCATCCATTTTATAAAATAATTTTTGTAGCAATGTTTAAAAGACATAATAATACTAGTATCCAAAAGTTGTATACAAGATGTCATATTTGGAGAAAGATAGTAGATGATAGTATTGTGAAGATTTAAATTACTAGAAAAATAGCTTCTGGCATTATCTACTAGAAGAATTACTTTATGACTAGCCATTTTCAAGTTAAATTCTTTGAGCCATATTTGAAACAATATATTCGTTATCCATATTTTGCTACTCGACTCATATTTGACACCAAGCTTGTTACATTTGATATCTTTGAAGCATGTCATGTTTGGAGAAAGATGGTAGACAGTAGTATTGTGAAGGTTTAAATTACTAGAAGAATAGCTTCTGGTATTATTTACTAGAAAAATTATCTTATGACTAGCTATTTTCAAGTCGAATTCTTTGAGCCATATTTGAAACAATATATTCGTTATCTATGTCTTGCTACTCGACTTATATTTGACACCAAGCTTGTTACGTTTGATACCTTTGAAGCATATGGGTTGGGAGACTTACCTATTACAAACAGTTTAATTTTATCCGTCCTGTCAGCATTAGCATAAAGTGCCACAGTTAACCGTTCTTTATTTTTTTTTTTTTTACTCTTAAGATGAACAGTTGCTAATGTGATATCCGGCTCAAGACTAAAAAAATAAAAGAAAAAAAAAAAGTTAATACGTATTAACCGATTTGTAGAATTTGGATGATGCCAAGAGAAAACCAGGCTTTGATCATATAAAATTTATATAATCGAAGTCTGGTTTTCTCTTGGCATTACTTATTTATTATTATATACCAAAAAAATAGCCCTGTTTTATCTATATTGTAAATATCTTTTAAATCATATTCTTTTAATACCTCTCTTAACCGAGGAAAGGCTATTACAACTTCACTATCATTTACAGATACATCTTCTTCATGCTTTTTTATATCCTAAACTATACTGTTACAGTACCATGGCCTTCTTAACAGCAGTACTATAACAATGACACGGCTACAGAAATCTTTTACAGGTTTATAGCGGTGTTCAACAGGTAAGTATAATTTCTACTACAACTAGAAACTATACTCTTCCGTCTGTGGCAGTTCGGGCAGATAATAGTTT